AAAAATTTTAAATGTTTCAAAGGGAAAAATTGGTGGGGAGGGGAAGTTCTCTCTCTTAAATTGTATCTCCTTTTATCCCTGGTCCTTCCATTCCTCAGTCTTTCTCATGGCCTCTGGCACTTCCTTAACACCCACACAGACTGTCAACAAACATACCAGGCACCAGCTATCAACGCGCCCCACCACAGCTCAACAAGCCAAGGCACTGACCTCCCCCCACCCCCTTCATGGCCAACTCCCCCTGGAAGAGTTCGTCATACACCCACCGGCTACTCAAGAAACAACATCAAGAGATGGTATTCCAGATCATCCATGCCTTTCTTCACTATGCCTCAGCCTCGTTATTTACAAATAAGGGTAACTCATATAAATACTGAACACTTCTTTTGGTTCAGTATTCCTGTGACTTAAAAACTTACTCAGAAAAGGATAAAACATCCTACTATCTCCATTCATATCTGTCTCCTGATGCCTTCGTTTTTCTCCAGCTGCTTCTGTGGTACAGTTCAGTTTAGCCACCCTGGGCCTTCCTACAACTTTCTTACCGACGTGTATAGTCAGCCCTTCTGCCCATAGCCAGATCATGCTTCTCATGCTCTGGCTGCAGAAAGCCTTACATGCAGGGCTCCAAGGACCAAAAACACCCTTGCTCTTTGGAAGACACTGTACGATCCTTTGAGAATCAGACAGGCTGGACTGGCGGAGCATCGGTAGCTTCTAAATATCTCAAGTGCTTTTTTCTCTCATATTTAAAAAAAAATAAGATAACAAATCACCTCCTCTCATCTTCATTGCCCAGGATATTAAACTGTGAGGCTCGGCATCTACAACAAGTCAACTCAACGCACAAACGAGCAGGAACAGAGCTGAGCTGAGGATCGGGTCGCAGGTGGGCCTCCCGTACGTGCCACAGCAAGCACTTCTCTGAAGCGTCTTGGCTGGTCTGGCTCCGTGAGTAGGAACCACATACTGTTCATTCCAACAGCACAACAATTCTGAGCATGAAAGCAGTTACCCCAATTCACAAGCACTAGTTGCTCTATAGCCGGCATAAGCCAAGATTTCCCCATAAACAAGTCTATTTTGCACAAACAGGACAGTCTCTGTTTATGAGCAACATTGAAACTGTCTGGACCCAGTCTCAGTGGCATGGACAGTGGGGGGCAGATGTGTGAGGCTGGACCTGTGTGGCAGGCTCTGGGCCCAGACTCAGCTCAACCTGGGCACATCAGGTTTAAGTGTGAGAGTGCCAGAATCCTGGCTAGCTAGTCGGGGCTGGAGGGAGGGGATCACCTACCTCAGGAAATAAGTGAATAAATCAATCTTTAAAAATAAAACAAACTTACAGAGCATTCATAGCAAATTCCCATTACGGTCAGAGAACTGGCCTCTGGCCCCTTTAGGAAATGATTAAATCAGTATTATGCTCAACCGGTTTTCCTCCTCCTCCTCTGGCTGCTCTCTCTTGTTCTGATCTTTCCTTATCATCCAACCTGTTAGAATCCCCTAGTCTCTCTCATCTGACCTAATCCCTTCTCTCCTCACTCTGTGTCTTCTTTCTAGGCAAGGTGGTCCATCCCAGGGCTGTCAAACAACCCAGGAATCTGTATGTTCAGGACACATCCTACTTCTGACTTCCACAACTGTGTTCACACACAATCGTCTTCTCTCGGTCAGGTTTCTCACAATGAACTTTTCTGTTATGGTCTGACTGTGCCCCTTGTGATTCACATGCTGAAATCTAGCTGCTGAGGTGATAGTATTAAGAGGTGGTGCCTTTAGGAGGTAACTGAGTCATAAGGGTGGAGCCCTTGCAAGTGGGATCAGCTTTCATAAAGGAGGTCCAAGGGAGGTACGCATCCCTGGAGCAGCTTTCAGCCCTTCTGCCTTCCAGAAGGATGGCAATAAGGCACCATCTCCGAGGCAGAGGGCATCCCTCACCAGACAATGAATCTTCTGGCATCTTGATCTTAGACTTTACAGCCTCCAGAACTGTGAAAAGTATGTTTCTATTATTTATAAATTGCCCACTCTATAGTATTTTGTTACACCTGCCAGAACAGACTGGAATAATGCCTAAAGTCAAACTGTTGATCTGCCCCATCTCACTCACCAAATGTATGTATGTCTTCCTCCAGAGTCTCCAAGACCTCAAAGTGCCTCTGTGCAGTCACATGTTCAGGCCAGAAACTTTAAAGTCATTCTCAACATCTCCCTGGCCCCTCAGGGACCAACGAGTGCTGATCTGGCTCCTAAATGTATCCTGAGTGGCTTCCCTCTGCCCATCCTCACTGCCTCCACCTACTGCAAGCTCCCACTACCATGCTCTGGAGAGCAAGCACCTCTGTGCGGGTTCTCCAGCCTTTGGTATTTGCCTATCTGTGCCAGGACACCAGATCCACTTCCTGCCAATCCATTTCCTACAAGGCAACCAGAGCGACCTTTGAAAGATGCAAGTGAGATGACATAAATGCTAGATTAAAACTTCTCCTCCTGTTCCCACTGCTCCTAAGACTGTGTTCAAAGTTCTTAACTAGACATCCAATGGCCCAGCCTTCTCAGCTGTCTCATAGACTGAGCCCCTTTCTGCATCTCGGCTTCCTTATTTGTTCTTCCTTTTGTCTGAAACAGGTTTTTCTAGGACATCTTAAGCCCAGCATGCACATGCACTCATGCACTCATGCATTCCATCCCTGGGTATGCATATGCATTCCCTTTTACCTGTTTTCTACCCACACTTGATGCTCACTTTAAATGCCCTTTCCTCAAGACAGCCTTCCCTGAACACCTAGAGGAGGTCCTGCCCAGTGCACCTGCATGTTATTTTCATTTGTGACTTTCTTTTTCAGAGGTTTTTTGGAATAGGACACATATACTTGCCAGAGAGACAGAAAGTGAGAAATCACTTCTCACCAGGGATATCCATGATGCAATCCCTTCTCCTCCATTCTCCTCTTGGGGTTTTGGTCACACACACATATGCCCAGGGTGAGTTTTAAGCCGCTAGGTCCAGAACTGAACTGAGGTTGATTACGTTGGAGTCCAGCAATGTAACCATTATGCCATCTACACGTCTCCATTTGTGACTTTTTAATGTCTACTTTCCCCAGCACAATGTCCTTGAGGGCATCGAGCACATCCCATGCCCTGCAAATAGTGTGGCTCATTATAGATTCTCAATAAGCAATATTCAACCTGAAGAATGAAAGATGGCAGAGAAGAATGGACCAGACAGTAACCACCCATACTCCTGAAGCCTGCCCGTATAGCCTCCCCATTCTTGGTGAGGCAGAAATGGAGGAAGACAGAAGGGAAACAAAGATAAAATGGGAAGACAAAGAGGAGAATAAAGAGCAAGGAAGTAAAAGAACTACCGCATGACACTTGAGGACAACCTCAAACAAGAATAGCAGGACTTGGGTTTTGTAGAACAGTTGGTACTCTAGTTTCCATGTATTTTTATCTTGTAAATGCCCCAGTTGGAGGCAATATTCCAGGAAGAAAGGAAGTGTAGAAAGTAGAGGCGGGAGAGGAAATGACAGTAACTAGAGATTTGTTGTACTTCGGGAAGTATTGGCGTTCACGAGCTTAGTCTTCTTTGTCCATAGAGATATAAAACAAGATGACCTGTGAGGTCCATTCTGGCTCCCATGTTGTTATAGTCTTTGGGGAAACCTCAGGTGGGTCCAGACCCATGGCAACCACTCTACCCTGCTTTAACCAAGTCATGGCATGGTAAGTTCCTTCACTATTTGTGTTACAACAACACAAATCTAATTCCTTGGAGTCCACTGTAGAAATGTCATGTTCGAGAAAGAGAAGGCGGCACCCCTGTCTGCACTGACAAAGTCACTTTGAAATCAGTTTCCTGACAGGAACAAGAAAGGTGGAGATTGCTGGAAGCACATATCTTAACTACGAGTGACTAGGGGCCAGCAGGTGGTATGGTAGTTAAGGCACTGGACTCCCACATGGCTGACCTTGGTTCAAGTCCTAGACCTGGTGGCTTGGAAGTCACCCTGGGCATGTGTGCATGCCCAAAATCCCAGGAGGAGCATGGAGGAAAAGAGACTATGGTGTGGCCATCCTCCCAGAGGTGATTTCTCACCTCCCCTCTCACTGTCTCTGTCTCTCTCCAGTGAGCGCACGTGTCCTAGGCAAAAATCTTAAAAAACAAAAGCATTAGTGACTTAGTGACTAAACTGATCTGACACAAAACAAGTCAGGATGATGAAATAGCTACTCTTCTAGGCCAGGCAAACAAAATTTTTTTTCTAGTTAAAATACTACTTTGCACGGAACAGCCCAAGTTTCTTTCCATCCAATATGTCCTGGAAAGCAGCATTTCCATGCCTTCTTGCTATCAGTCTTCTATGTCAATCAGTATTTCAGTAGAGATGCAACAGAGACCTTCAGTGGAAACAGGCAAGATTAGGACAAAAATAAACTCTTGTGTTCACACGTGGGCAGCTTCAGAGATCACTGCTCAGTGAAACAGATGCTGAATGACTCCAATCAACAGTGGCGTTCATGACACAGAATGAAAAGGCAGCTAGGAGCTCAATCATGCAGACCAGAAGCAGGGCTGTTACACTGGCCGAAACCAGGAACAGGTCTATCAGTTAACAAACCTTTGGAAATAAACGGAGGGGTGATGGCGTTCATTGCAAAATTCGTCAACATTTTTTAGGGTAGAGCAAGTCGCACTGTGTGTGTGAAAGCTTTGACTGTAAATTTGGTGGATTTAGTCATTGTGACTGCCCGGAGTGGAAGAGTACAGGCTCACAAGAAATTCTCCTCTAGAGAATTTCCCTGAGAAACAGTTCAATGCCCCACAGAACTACAAATCTGCTCACTGGTACATGCCAAAGTTAGGTGAGACTAATTGGGATGTCATCCCATGAATAATATGTGCCAAAACAACAGCTGTAAAGGCGTTTTTAAAAATTAAAGCTCAGAAATTTGCATTAACATCAAATAATGGCTTCCAGACTACTTACGTCAGTGTCAGGCCCCTTATCCGCACCAGGACAAGAAAATGTAACAAACTCATGGCACCTCTTGTGGACCACAAAACAGCAAACTGGAGGAAAGAAAAGAAAACTAAAATTAGAATAGTCTACATTGAATACACAACTCTTTTCCAAACAGTAGGCTACTTACTGTTAGAGTCTATTTAATTTTACTACACACAGATAGGACCTTATAAACAGTGATCCAAGGTATTTCATTGAGAATCAGCAGCAGTTGGTATAGACTGGACTCATAATATCATAGGACCACAATACTAGTGCTGGGAGGTGATGAGGAAATGTAGACTGCAAATATCACTCACTAAATGTTGAGGGACAAGAGAGCCAGACAAGACAAAACGGCTTCCCTGGGTGTAAACCAGGAATCAAAATCTGGCGAGCTAATCAGTGCAGCAATAATGCAACGCTCAGCGATGCTGAGACCACAGGGTCCTAGGTTCACGTCCCAAGGCTTCCCTATACACACTGGGTGTGTGAGAGCAGATGCACGAGCCCGTAATCCTAGCTGGTTGAGGGCGGGTCACAGAGGGAATACACTACTGGGGTTGCACTTGCTCTCAATTGTAGAAGAAATAAACGAACAAGGCTTAAAATATGTTTAACTACAGAAAGACAGGGGTTACCCACCTACTATGTGGCAGAGCTGGGAGGCATACTAAGATTGCTTGACTCTGTGGCCCCTTTCCTTTCATGTCATATCCATTAACAGGATAACAGGAGCAGAAAGGATATCAGAGCCCTTAACAAGATTTTCCACGTGAGTGACAGGAAATGGACACATACCCGTAATAATAATAATAATAATAATAAATATGCACAAATGAACACACACACTCATATGATATGATATGATATGATAAGCCAGAGGACAAAGATATGGGTAGATCATGATTCATTGCTTCCTTTTCAAATAGTAATACCTTTTTTAAAAAGTTTATTTATTTATTGCATAAGAAAGACAAAGAGAGTGAGAGAGAGAGTGAGAGAGAGAGAGAGAGAAGGTGTGTATCGCCACAAGGTCCTCAACTGCAACGGAATGCTACATGCTAGCCTCAGCCACCCGGGGAGATTTTAGATATAAACTGAAGACCTTCCCAGAGGGGGTTCATGCTGCAGAAGACTGTGCTGTTACCACTGTACTACCACAGCTGGCGTGACCCCTTAAGTAGTTTTCCTTTTTTTTTTTTAAGATTTAATTTTAATTTTATTCATCATTATTTATTATTTTAAAAATTTGATCAGAGTGAGACAGAGAGAGAGAGGGAAAATGAGAAAGCAATCAGCCAGATCTGAGACTTAAACCATGGTCAGCCATGTGCGAGTCCAGCACCTTAACCACTATGCCACCTGCTGGTTCCAGTAGTTTTCTTCTAACAGGATCACAATATAATATCACTACTATATATATATATATATATTGTATACAAAATACATATATATATATTTAAAGGAAATGTATGTTTGGCAGTGATCACACAAAGAGTTGAACATGGAAGTGGGAACCATCCACCAGAAGGTGACCCATGAAGAATCCTGAGGGTGAGCCTCGGTAGAAGTGGAGACACTCTGGGTGAGGGATTTTCCTTAGCTGAGGCTGGCTGCCTGCAACAGCCACCACACCAGCCTGTCCTGCAGTGGGCAGGAGGCGGTGAGTGTGAAGCGGAAAAAACCTCCCCTGACTGCCCTGGCAGTGCTGAAGCACTCAAAGGCCAGCACGTAATTACCTCCATGAGCCTGCAAAGGAGCGGTCTTTCCACTGTTTCTGCTAAAAGCATCTCGACTGCAAAACTCCCCGAGGATGGATAATAAAGCAGCCCTGTGATGGCACAAATGAATCTCATCTGCTTGCTCTCCCCAGGCACAAACTCATCTTTCATTCATTGGAATTAGAAAGATAAGTTACTAACGGAAAAAGGTTACAGGGGCATTATTTCCTCATCATAGTTTATTATGAATATGGTGTTTTGAGAAAAAAAAAATTCTGATTCCCTACTTAATCATTTAGGTATCTGGGGCTTTCATTTCTATTTCTTTAAAAAAAAACTTGTTTCTATTTCCTTTAAAAACAAAACAAACTTCTTCTCACTCAGTGAACATTAAGAAAATCCATATCTGGGACCAGCAGTTAGTGTAATGGCTATATCACTGGACTCCCACGTAGTCAACCGCAGTTCAAGTCCTGGACCCGGTGACTTAAACACACACTGGGTGCATGTGCGTGCGTGCCCAAGATCCCAAGAGGAGAATGGAGGAGCGGGGATTGAGGCATGGCCATTCCCCCAGGGGGTGATTTCTTACCTTCTGTCTCTCTGTCTCTCTCTCTCTGTCTGGCAAGTGCACGTGCCCTATAGCAAAACGAAAAAAGAAAAAAGAAAAGAAAAGAGAAAAGAAAAGAAAATCCCTATTTGTCCAATACATTTCCAAGGATGGGTCAGTTTTTTCACCGGTCCCTTCTTTGTGCGCTCACACATCACTGCAATTACAGGCCTGCGGCTGGAAGTACAACTATTCAATCTTCAAAAAATCTCTTCCATCATATTTTACCTTAAGAAGAACCAGGTACTCCCTGCTCAGTATAATTTGTAGGGGATGCAATAAAATTTCACCTATCTTAAAACCACTTCTGTCCCTCCTGCCTCCCCTCAATATTCCCACTTCATGTGACAGGGTCCCCTAGCAGGAGGCAAACAGAGTGGTCACATGCTTCCTGGCAGTCATTCATACATGTGAGTTATCTGAGGATAAAGACCCATAAGCGCCTGTGCAAAGACTCAAGATTCACAATGGATAATCTCCAAAGAAGAAACAGAATAGGCCATTCCTGGGTGACAAAGGAGAGGAAGCTCAGTTTCCCCTTCCCTTCTCCCTGCCTGGACGTTGGCTGACTCTGATTGGACACAGGATTTGCCTGGGAAATCTGTCCCAGAAAACCTAGCAACAGGTCGAATGATTCCAAAAATCAATGATGGCTGGTCTTGCCCTTTGGTTTTCAAGTTAAGGGAATGCACATTTTGTAAGACAATATAATAGAAAACATTAGGGAAGTCTTCCTAGTGCAAATAAAGAGAGGAAAAAGACCCACCCAATAAGACCAAAGAATGCCCTGGGTTTACCTGAATATGGACAGCATGGGTTTTCTTCTGGCTGAAAATCAAAAGCTATGCTTTATCCTTTTTTTTGTGGCAGAGGGTGGTACCTCTAAAGAAACTCATTTTACTATGTTAATGTGGAGCAAGGGGAATTGGGAAGGAGTATAAGGTGGTACCTGTCCCATAAACACCTTTGACAAATACCTGCCAGACCTGGGCAGGAAGGAAGGCCACCTATAGGCAGTGGCCGATCATCGTTCTGGAAAGGAGGAGGGACACATGTCACGGCAGATCCCTCACAGTCCAGAGTTTGTCCTGGGGGCCAGAATCTGGGCCCTTCAACTAGTCTGTGCTTGAGCAAGAACAGTCTGTCCTGTGAGACTCTGGGATGGAGCCTCATTTTCAAAGACTTTGGGTCACCTCTGCTTGTATAACCAAATGAGAGGTTTTGAAAATAGGAAGCTCTCCTGCGGCTTAAAGTCACAAGGTAAATCTTCATCCCATTATTTCCTAAGCACAAACCACTTTCCTCTAAGTATGATATGCTTATGATATGCTTATGCTGTCCAACAGTGATGGATGACACAGGAAATGCATAAATCACACAAAGCAAATGACATCGTGGGACAGTGAGTAACAATGACCACAGGCTTGGCCAAATAACAATTCTCAACCCTACCTGGCTTTGAATGTGAGAGCGCTCAGTCTAGCGATCCGTATTACTGGCAATCATGCATATGGAAGGAAATGATATGGAAATAAAGGGAGAGATTTTCCATCTATAAAAGTAGATTTCAGAAACAGAAAAAACAACAACTACTTGAATTGGGCTCAAAAATTCATTTAAAAATGTCTAGGGGGAAAAAACAATCCAGAGGTGCGCTGTGCCACTACCACGTCAACGTTAACAGTGGTCCTCAGCTGCGCTGGTCGTTTAAGGAGAACAAACACTAGCAAAGGTCATGAGGAAAGCCAGATACTGCTCCCCCGTGGGTTTGTTAAGAATTAATTCAGCTCTAATGAGTCTTGGCACGTTAGACACACATGGGGACCTGAGTGTTTTTTTTCTGTGTTGAAAGTTGTCATGATGCAGATGGATGACTTGGGGTTCTTGACGCTGGACAGTGTTTCCTACAGTGATTTTGAGCAAATGATAAGTCCAGAGACTTTCTCCTTAGTCCTTTCATATGTAATGTTTTATCAAAATAAATAAAAAGACTGTGGTGAACTGATGCTTCCAATAAAGAAATCAGCTACAATAAAGTGCTTCCTAGTCAATCGACTAGTCTGCCCTAGTCGATCAACTCAACTCACTAGCAGTGACCGTGTAAGATTTGTAAGTGCAGCCATGGCTCTGACTTGAGGAAAAAATCTTTAGAAATAATTAACCACTCCTTTGTACCTGTTAGGATTAGGAATATGCTCCTCCAACCCTCTTGGCTCATCTGCACACAGTAGGTGTGGATATTGATGGTGAAATGAGGACTACAGATGTGGCTCTCCTACTAAACCACTCACTCTGTACAGTAAAATAGGATCGCCCCTACTTACATCTGACATGGACTGCCATGTTCATCGAGGGGGAAACATACATTGGGTCACTTCCCATTTCTCCTTTCCTTTCACCTCATTGTCCAGGTCATTTCAAAATCAGGTCATAGTCACATATGATGAAACGCAGGCATAAAAATTCCCTATTACACAAAAATAATGGGGAAAATCCTATTATGTAATAATTTCTGAATTCAAGAAAGAACCTACTAAATTTAATAGACTTTGTTTAGAACAGAAGACTGGTAGCTAAGCTTCCTTGAGTTCTTTTTTTAAATACATAAATGGTTGCTATCATGTGAGATGATTTTAATTAAATTTTGCTTAGCTGGAAGGGATTAATGAAAGGTAACGTCACATCAAAATACAATGAAATCAAAGCCTCTAAGGCAAGTCAACCTCGTTTAGCT